ATGGTAACGTTGTCATCAATATGCGACGTAAAGCTAGACCAAACTTATATAAATTCAATAAGAGACCTCTTCTGTGCCAAGAGCGTATATATATGCGTTGTGTTTTGGGTCTTCCTTATAATTTATCTATAGAATATCTAGGAGTTTTCTTTTTCCTTCAAAATAAAGAGTTTATTAACTTTTATAAAACTAAAGTAGTTTGTTGGAGTTTTGTTTGATTATAGAATTTATATATACCAAACCGTTACCCTGCATAGTAGAAGAAGTCATACCCGGCCGAAGACAAAAACTAGGTTTAACTAAGAAGCACATGTGTCCATCATTTTTATTTTATTTTGGTTTTTTGGTAAAAAGATGTGTCCATCTTGTTAGATCAATGCGGAGTTGTCTATCTCTTAAACCATATATTTCTGCATAAGGTCTGAAGGAAACAACATATGATTGTCGATGAGGTTGGATGCTAGATAACAGAAATGTATAATTAGGTAAATAGTCGCCACCGTTTATGATCGAGGACCTAGCAGTGCTAGCACCTGCCTCTAGACAGCTGCCTAAACTATGTTCTTTAGGATACTGAGTTTAAAACTAATTCATGCAATCTTTAGTTGATTGCAACAAGTTTTTTGTATTTTCTTCTTTGTTAATTACAATGGCCAATATGAGATGTAGACATTTCATAATAATTCAATTATACGAGACGGACCCATAACGTTTTCCATGCCAGAGAACAATTATTAGACTGTGGTAGCGTTTGCCAACTACTAGTTGTCGTCTTTTTTTTTTTTTTTTTGATCTTCGTAATCCTAAAAAGTTATATCCGAATTATATAGTTCCATTTACAATCGAGATTTGCATGTGAACTTTTTGCTTGAAAAACACATCCAATAAATAGACTACCAACTTACAAAAATGCTATATACTCTAGCACAATTTTTACAATATTTATGTTTTGTCATATTTTCTCATTAAATCATTTTGGGTTGTTTATTTGTGAAGAGCTTGGCTATTTTCTTTTCTTAAATATAATTAAGTAATATATTTTAATGTAATTTCATATGTTTAGTATTATTATTGAGATATAAAATTTAATGTTATACTCCACTACAAACAAAAAAATCTAATATTATATTTTTAAATTAAAATATTAATTTAAAATTTTATACTTTTAGCATGAATCTCTCCAAATACAAATAATAATTTTTTTATTTTTTTGAATGAATGCAAAATTTATTCAACCAAAAAAAATAACTTATTTACAATATATGCATCTTATAATTGAAAACCATTTGAACATATAACTTAAGATGTGGGAATAAAAAAATGAAAAAGAATAAAAGCTTGAGCTTAGTGCTTTTGAGCCAAACCATAGCTCTTACCCTATTTAAGCCCCTTTTAGCCTTGTTTTCTCCCTGTCACACCTATCACTAAAAGAAAAAACCAACTTGGACACTAGAGTGAAGTCATGGAAGACGAGAAAAACCACAAAACATCTCCTTCGTCTCTCCCGTCTTTGTGCAAGCAATTGGCGAGCTCAACTCTTCGGGAAAGCATGGAACTGAACATTCCTGTGGTTGATCTAAGCGTTTCTGATGAAGCGTTCCTGGTGAGTGAGGTGACGAAAGCGAGTGAAGAGTGGGGAGTTTTTCAGGTGGTCAACCATGGGATTCCAACGGAGCTGATGCGGCAGCTGCAAGTGGTTGGGAAGCAGTTTTTTGAGCTCGCCGAGGCAGAAAAGGAAGCTGTGGCGAAAGAGGAAGACATTGAAGGATACAAGAGGAACTATCTACAAGGTATTAAGGCTTGGGATGAACATCTAAGTCACAGACTCTCCCCACCCTCTCTCATCAATTATAAATATTGGCCTAAGAATCCTCCCCAGTACAGGTACGTTTCTAATAAGATCAAATTAGATACAGATTAGTGTATATATATATATATATATATATATATATATATGTTTTTACGTTATATATATATAATTTATTTTCTTAACAAAATCTTGAAGCCAAAAGTTAGCTTTTGGTCGATATATATTTTGGGGCATGGCGGTTTCAGGGAGGTGAATGAGGAGTACACAAGGCATATGAAGAAGCTAACAGAGAAAATTCTCGGTTGGTTATCAGAGGGATTAGGGTTACCTTCCTTGGCTTTGACGCAAAGTTTAGGTGGGGAAATGGCAGAGTATGTGATAAGGATCAATTACTATCAGCCGTCTGAAAAATCGGAATTAGTCATTGGAGCCGCTGCGCACACCGATATAGGGGCACTCGCACTTCTCGTCCCCAATGAGGTTCCTGGACTTCAAGTCTTCAAGGACGAACGATGGTTAAACGTTGAGTATATCGACTCCGCTGTGGTTGTTATTATAGGCGATCAGCTCATGGTATTGTTTAAGTTTTTTCTACTATTATTGTCTTTCTGTTTTTCCTTTAGTTATTATGATAACGTAGTATATATTTTTAATTAGTTTATTGAGTTGGAAACGTTTGGGAATTGATTAATTTAACTATCGCAGAGGATGAGCAACGGGAGGTACAAGAACGTGCTTCACAGAGCAATGTTGGATAAGGAGAGATTTAGGATTTCGTGGCCGGTTTTTGTTGCCCCTGATGGTGATATATCCGTCGGACCTTTGCCGGAGCTTACCGGAGACGAGAATCCTCCCAAATTTGAGACTTTAGTTTATAAAGACTATTTGCACCAGACCTTTGCAAAATGGGCGGTCGAGAAGGTATATAGTTCATAAATAATTAATCCTCTCTACTGAAGATCCTATAAACCCATCAACAAGAAATCCTTCAAGTGTAGCTATCTCTTTTTTTTTATAATTTCCTTTTCGTGTTACGTTCAAATGACTATTGTTCTTTCCTCTAATTAATGGAGTTTCATGCATGGTAAACATAATAAAGGGTTGTGTGTGTTTACGTTTTTATAAATGCGTGCGTATCCTTTTATTTCTTTGTTTGGGAGTTTCAGTATATGGTACGTTAAATTGTTCAGTACGTATGTTTGTGTGTTGGGATATTTATTTGAAGTGATAAACATAATCGAGGGTTACGTGTGTTTACGTTTTTATAAATGCGTGCGCGCATCCTTTAACTTTCTTTGTTTGGGAGTTTCAATACATATATGGTACGTGCGTTAAACTGTTCAGTACACTAATCAAAACTAGAACACTTAAATTGTCAATTTCTCTCTCCCACACGCTAGCGATTGCCCAAGCCCTGATGATCCGAATTCTGGCCAATTAGCTAGGCAGCTCACTAGTAATTATCCTTAGAGACTCACTAGGCGATCAGGATTTTAAGACTTAATCAGTGTACACATTTTTTCTAATTTCGTGTCTTATATATCCTACTGAAAATTAACTAATAAGATCTAACTCAGCTAATTTACTGTCTTCAAAAGCCAAAAAAAAAAAAACATCGAAGAGAGACGAGTATTCGGATTCTCTCATTTAAAGTATTTTTTCAATACCAACGTGCAACTTTGTCCCCTCTACATACTGAGCTGGAGGCTTTGTTATGGGTTATGGAGAATATCATGATAAGAAGAATTGATTGTCATACGTGCAAAACATATAGTGCAAAGCTAGTTGCAATGGTGCAATCCCTTAAAGAATTGCCAGTTTTTCCAATATCTTAGACGTATTTTGAACGCTCCGAACCTCTTTTCCGGCTTTCTCTCTATCAGGATTGATTTATTAACGAATGTGTGATTGACAAAAAAAAATATATTTTATCAGTGATATATATTTATTCAGATATCACAAAGATTGGGTAGATAATTATTTAGTTTGTGATTGCACGAGAGTACATGATCTTGACAATAATGTTCTAGAAAAGTAAATATACAAAAAAGGCCAGCGTATAACCTGAATAATTATATTTAATAATTAATAAATGTATATGTTTAATCGTCAAGCTAAAATAGTTCAGTATATCAATCTATTATTCTATTAGTATTACACGATTCTGGTGTACCTAACACCTATTTTCTTTTCTTTTTCGATCGTTACCCAACGAGAAATTCAACATTGTAAGAAAAAAAAAATTATTGGAAAGTTGGTACGAATTTAATATTGACGGGAAATGACCAATTATCTAGAAATTAAAAATTATCTGATTGATGTTACGTTAAAATGTAATTTACTTTTAAGTTAACATCAAAAATTAGATACAGTTTAACTTGCTGTATTAGTTTACGTTGTCACTAGTCATCAATATACGACGACGTCAAGCAAGGTTATGTAGCAAATATGGAGACTTTCTCTTCATTATGATAATTAAGAAAACTCCGATGTCTAAATGGCAATATTTAATTTATGTTAATATTGAATTTAAACTAGTAGTTACGTTAAACTATTTAATTTAGTTACTAAATGGCAATATTTAATTTCTACATGAAAAAAGAAGAAAAAAAATTAAACTAGTAAATAGTAACTAAATGCCAATATTCAATTTCTATACGAAAGATATTATGTACACGCATAGCAAACAACATAAATATATCTATTCATCTTTATATATAGTAAAGCAAAAGCCACTCATATATGCTATATGATATAGCTATCATGTCGTTTTGGAAGAGGTTTTGAGATTTATTTATTTTTGGTTTAAATGGTAAGTTACAAAAATAAAATCTATGTTAATATGTCATAGCAACATTATGGGTAGTCTCTTAGTATTAGCTCTTAGCATTATAAAGCTAAAAACACTTAAAGAAAAGTTAGTTTTGGTCTCTTAGTTAAGAGACTTTCTTAAAAATAAAACATATTTTCCATTTAATTTAATTATATTTTTAAGTCAAGAAAACTCTAATTAGTAAAGGTAAAATCTTAAATAAGATAGTTTTTAATGTAATTCTTATCCTTAAAATCTTATCAATAATGTTGGTCTAAGAAACTACCAGTACCAGTGTACCACCACAGATTTATAAACTAATTTACTTTTAGTTTTAAAATCATATTATCGTATTCGCATGCAGTGTCCCATAACCAACGTAGAGACAACCCAAATCATACACCACCTTCCCCTATAAAAAAAAAATTAATATCGCAACTTCTCTCTCCAATCAACTTAAGATATATTACGATCCAAATCCGCCATTAGCTAGAAGATATTAAAAATACTGAAAACCACAATGGAGATGAATACAAACCAAAACAACATTTCTTCGAGGGACATCCCTGTCATTGATCTAAGTAACCACGACGAAGAGCTTGTGGCACGTGCGGTTGTCAAAGCGAGCGAAGAGTGGGGGATTTTTCAGGTGGTCAACCACGGAATCCCGACGGAGCTGATACGGCGGTTGCAAGAAGCGGGGAAGGAGTTTTTCGAGCTTCCCGAGACAGAGAAGGAGGCCGTAGCGAAGCCAAAGGACTCCATGGACACAGAAGGATACAGAACCAAGTACCAAAAAGATATGGAAGGAAGAGACCCATGGGTTGATCATCTCTTTCACCGCATCTGGCCACCCTCCAGAGTCAGTCACAGATTCTGGCCTAAGAGTCCTCCAGAGTACATGTACAAGCAATCCACTCATTATCATTCAAATATTTTTATGAATTAAACTGATTAGCATTAGTAGTCATATATAGCTAAATACATGGAATAAATAGTTATATTATTATGGATTCCAACTGCAGTAAAGTGAATGAGGAGTACGCAACTCACATTAAGAAGCTATCCGAAAAACTCATGGAGTGGCTATCAGAGGGATTAGGGTTAAAGCGTGAGGCCTTGAAGGAAGGTCTAGGCGGCGAGACGGTGGAGTATCTGATGAAGATTAATTACTATCCGCCGTGTCCAGATCCTGATATGGTCGTGGGGGCTCCGGATCACACTGACGTCAATGGGATCACACTCTTGGTCGCTAATGAGGCTTTAGGACTTCAGGCTTTCAAAGATGACCACTGGATCGACGCAAAGTATATCACTTCTGGGATCATCGTCATCATTGGTGATCAATTCCTTGTAAGAAGTTTAATTATTAACTTGAGATACCATTAATTATGTGTTTTCTGTTTATACGTTTCATAGAACCATGCATGGATTTAATTAAAGAAGTTCCATATATATTAGTCTTGGAATTAATATAATTGTGGATTTTGCAGAGGATGAGCAACGGGAAGTATAAGAGTGTGGTGCATAGAGCGACGATGGATAAGGAGAAGACAAGAATCTCGTGGCCGGTTTTTCTGGAATCTAGCCTTGATCACGTTTTCGGACCTTTGCCGGAGCTAACTACCGACGATGAGAGCGTTCCCAAGTTTAAGCCTTATGTCTACAAAGACTTCAAATTTCGAAAGCTTAAGAAGCTTAGTCTCGACTGAGATTAAAAAATATCTGCATAATTACAGAGAAACAGATGATCGAGAGAGATCATGAAGAAGACTTGTTTGTTTTGTTGGGTTTATTGCGTCTGCTTCAATAATGAGTGCTGGAGTTTTATCTACTTATCAAATTACAGCATTGTGTCATTTGTGTGTGTATGTCATTTGTCATGTGTGTTTACTGTTTATTTAATTTGATACTGTATGATTTTTTAATAATTTTTGTAGTTGTTGGGCAAAGCGTAATTTAATATGATTAAACTTGGATTGTAACGTTTTAACCCACATTATCTATTATTACCTCTGTTCCTAAAATATGATTTTTGTAAAAAAGAAAAAAATATATTGTTTCAAAAATTAAAATTTATAGATAAATAAGTAAATATCATTGATTTATAGTTTTAAAAAACCGTGAGTCACAAAAATGGTATAATTATCATCAACTAGTTAACTATTTTTAAAATATTTGTGAAAAATCTAGAAAATTATCAATTAATGACGAAAGAATATGGCCTTGAATGGCAACAGTTTTTAGATTAGTTTTTGGTTTTTGATTCTAAAAAACCAAAATAATTGACATTTACGATTTTACTAAAAGTGATTTTCTTAAATTTAGAGAAACTAGTTTTTATCAGATTTTAACAATTCTTTCATAGAATCTAAAAACTATTTTTTTCAGCTTTCTAATAATATTACGTGACTTTTTCTTATTGATTATCAACTTTTATTTTTTTCATATAAAACCAAAAACTAAACAAATTACCATTTAAGATTTTGCATAAACTAAAATCTACAGCAAAAATCAAAAATTAAAAAACTAAAAACCAAAAGGCAAAAACTAAAAACCAAAAGCTAAAACTCATTTAAAAACTACAAAACATTCATGACCTATATATAGTAATAATACAAAATAATGTAAATACTTTATTTTTGTCGTCAACCTAAATAATTGAAACCTATTATTATATGATAATTTTTGGTGTACCTGATGCACTATTATAGTCTTGACTATAGGGTCATGACAATATCGCCAATATTGTCATTTTGCATATTGTTATGGGAAATACTAATCTGTATACACAGATTGTTATCTTCCTCTTATTCTACGGCCAATGAGAACAACACAACATTGTAATAATTATTGGAAAGTTGGTAAGAATTTAACATTGAAAGAAATAACCAATCATCTAGAAAAAGAAAGAAAAAAAGTGAAGAAGTTAAGTCATTATGCAAAATTAAATATTCATGTGATTGATAATATTACATTCAATTGCAAGTTACTAGTATTATAGTTAAGATCAGGTCACATTAATGAAGTCAATATAAGAGAAGGAAGCGGTAGCGAAGCCAGAGGAGTCCACGGACATAGAAGGATACATGACGTCATGTATAGTGTAGCGTTGAAATTCAAATTAGCGCAATACAAGTTAAAATTCCAGAGTTTCTGATGATTGACTACCAAGGCAAAACAATGTTTTAAGTTATATAACATTGTATTGATAAATAAAATAATTATATATTATGTAACATTATCACGATCGAAAAGAAAACTCAATTGCATGATATATATACGATAATTTATATACGTACAAAATAGTCACGATGAAGCCATGAAATAAAGTTATGCGCTATTACAATTATTGTAATTAACTGTTAACTTTTTGGTTGGATCATTATCACACTTTTAGGTGCTTTTCGATTTTCATACTTGAATCATATCACCTTCCAGCCCAACAAATCACTTATACGTGCATTAGTGCTTGTTTACGACTTTTTTTTTTTTGGGTCATCATCTTAATTATTAACCTATTTGAAAACACAATCAAACAGATGATAAAAGGAAAATTTCAACAAAATAAATTCAATGCGAAAAAGAAGAAGAAAAAGTATAATTTTTATGTTTTCATGTTTTGAAATTGTGTTTTGCTATGTTTTTAACCATTCAGATAATTTATCAAATTTTCCACGTATTTAAAATTGAGAGGGTTATATATAGAGAACATACATGTTTTAATTAGGGTTGACAAAAAAATAAATTCACAAACTTTTTACTATTTAATCATTCAGCTATCCCGTTAATTCACTATTAATGTGACATACAAGTACAACTCAAAACCTAATAATTTCTCCTAAAGAATTTATCTTCCATTAATTTTTATTTTATTTGAAGTGTTCATTCCGTTCAAAATTGAACGTAAAATTAGATCTTAAAATACTTCATCTATGCTATTTGTTCATTAACTAGACAATTTGCTTATAGGCTACGCACATGAGGGTGGCCAGATTCCGTAAAAAGTTTTCTCGGTCCAGCCTTCTCTTTTTAGCCTATTTATTAATCCCCTCTAATTAATAAGCCTTCTCTTCTCCTTCTCAGACCTATCATCACAATAAGAAAAATTAAACCAACCTGCGTGGACACTAGAGTGAAGCAATGGAAGAAGAGAGAAACCACGATACATTTTCGTCTTCTTCATCTCTCCAATCTCTGAACAAGCAATTGGCAGGCACAACTCCTGGAGGAAACGCGGATGACGTTCCCGTGGTTGATCTAAGCGTTTCTGATGAAGAGCTCCTGGTGAGTGAGGTGACGAAAGCGAGCGAAGAGTGGGGAGTTTTTCAGGTGGTCAACCATGGGATTCCAACGGAGCTGATGCAGCAGCTGCAAGTGGTTGGGAAGCAGTTTTTTGAGCTCGCCGAGGCAGAAAAGGAAGCTGTGGCGAAAGAGGAAGACATTGAAGGATACAAGAGGAACTATCTACAAGGTATTAAGGCTTGGGATGAACATCTATGTCACAGACTCTCCCCACCCTCTCTCATCAATTATAAATATTGGCCTAAGAATCCTCCCCAGTACAGGTATAGTTTCCAATAAAGAAGATATATAGTAATTCAAAGCCAATCGGTAATCATGAGGTGGACAGACTCATATATGTTTTTATCAATTGATTTATTTCTTAAACAAAATCTTAAAGTCAAAAGTCAGCTTTTGGTTGATAGTTTGGGCCATGGCGGTTTCAGGGAGGTGAATGAGGAGTACACAAGGCATATGAAGAAGCTAACGGAGAAAATTCTTGGTTGGTTATCAGAGGGACTAGGGTTACCTTCCGTGACGTTGACGCAAAGATTAGGTGGGGAAATGACAGAGTATGTGATTAGGGTTAATTACTATCAGCCGTCTCAAAAATCCGAATTAGTCATAGGAGGCGCTGCGCACACCGATATAGGTGCAATCACACATCTCCTCCCTAATGAGGTTCCTGGACTTCAAGTCTTCAAGGACGAACAATGGTTGAACGTTGAGTATATCGACTCCGCTGTGGTTGTTATCATCGGCGATCAACTCATGGTCTCGTTGATTTCTTAATTTTTTCTTTTTCTTTTCTCTCTGTTTTTCCTTTAGTTATTATGATAAAAAAATATATATATACACATTTTTAGAAGAAAAAAAATTATTGAATAGGAAACGTTTGGGAATTGATTAATTTAATTAATTACAGAGGATGAGCAACGGGAGGTACAAGAATGTGCTTCACAGAGCAAAATTGGATAAGGAAAGATTGAGGATATCGTGGCCGGTTTTTGTTGCGCCGAGGCTTGATTTGTTAGTCGGACCTTTGCCGGAGCTTACCGGAGACGAGACTCCTCCCAAATTTGAGACTTTAGCTTATAAAGACTATATGCACCAGACCTTTGCAAAATGGGCGGTCGAGAAGGTATATAGTTCATAAAGAATCCTCTCTATTGAAGACCCTAGAAACCCATGAACAAAGAATCCCACAATAAATTATGATGAACTGTCCAAGTGTTCGTATCCCTATATATTTTGTTTTTGTTTGTTTGTTTACTTTTCGAGTTACGTCAAATGATTACTGTTCTTTCCTCTAATGGAGTTTTATGGTAAACATAATAAAGGGTTATGTTTTTATAAATGCGTGCGTATCCTTTAATTTCGTTGTTTGGGAGTTAATTTCAATATAATATATGGTACGTTAAACTGTTCAGTACATATGTTTCTGTGTTTGGAGATTTTTTTGAAGTGGTTGTCTTGTAATAGTTGACAAGCGGTCATACTTACGAAGAGCAAATTTCACTCTTTCATAACATTTAAAATACGTCGAACACAGTTTCACTGTCAACTTTTAAAACGGATAATTTACACGCACTATTGATTTGAGATCGAATAGTTATCATGTTTAGACGATTATATGTAATTTGTATTATACAACTCATTTATTGTCACGTGTAGCCTACACGGTGACGGGGTAGGCGTAGCTTAGTTTAAGCAATCTATATACATTGCATAATACTTATACAGTAATTTGGTCGTATCATTTTTGAACGATAGAAAAAGAAAAACCAAAAAAAACAAACATAAAGAGATTCGAGTTGTCGGATTCTCTCATTTACAGTATCTTCTCAAATATATATTTCTTGATCGATTTTTTAAAGTTATACAATCGCAAGCAGTGTGCCACGGACCACGGTGCCACCCCAGTCATACACCACCTTATTCCTCTCTATAAAATTCATACCGCAACTTCTCTCTCCGATCAAAAGTCTCTAAATCATAAAGCTACATTTCAATCAAATCCGCCATAGAGCTGGAAGAGATTAAAAATACCGAAAACCACAATGGAGATGTCTTCGCGAGACATCCCCTTCATTGATCTAAGTAACCAGGATGAAAAGCTTGTGGCACGTGCAGTTGTTAAAGCGAGCGAAGAGTGGGGGGTTTTTCAGGTGGTCAACCACGGAATCCCGACGGAACTGATTCGGCGGTTGCAAGAAGTGGGATCAAAGTTCTTTGAGCTGCCGGAGTTAGAGAAGGAAGCCATAGCGAAGCCAGAGGACTCCATGGACATAGAAGGATACATGACCAAGTACGAGGATGAAGCTAGAAACGCATGGGCGGATCATCTCTTTCACAGGATCTGGCCACCATCCAAAATCAACTACAGATTCTGGCCTACAAACCCTCCCGAATACAGGTCTAAGATCGGTCCACTCATTGCTAATGGTTTTTAGTCACATACATGTTTATAAAAATGTAGAGTTAATCCTCATAAATAATATATTATATTTTTGACAGGGAGGTGAATGAGGAGTACGCAAGTCACATGAAGAAGCTAGCAGAAAAAATCATGGAATGGTTATCAGAAGGGTTAGGGTTACCGCGTGAGGCGTTGAAGGAAAGTCTAGGAGGCGAGACGGTGGAGTATCTGATGAAGATCAATTACTATCCGCCGTGTCCGGACATGGATTCGGTCCTGGGAGTTCCTGGTCACTCCGATTTCAATGGTATCACACTCTTGGTCGCTAATGATGCTTTAGGACTCCAGGTGTTCAAAGATGACAACTGGATCGACACAATGTACATCACTTCTGGGATCATCGTCATCATTGGTGATCAATTCCAAGTAAGATGTTTAATTATGATACTATGCTTGAATCATTTTGTTAGTTAACCATTTAACAATCATTTTCAATAATGTGGTTTCCGTACATTATATAGGTTTCATATATAACCTAATATGCATGGGTTTTTAAAGAAGTTTGTCTTGCAATTAATTGTGGATATTGCAGAGGATGAGCAATGGGAAGTATAAGAGTGTGGTGCATAGAGCCACGAGGAATAAGGAGAAGACAAGAATCTCGTGGCCGGTTTTTGTGGAATCGAACCTTGATCAAGTCTTGGGACCTTTGCCGGAGCTAACTTCCGGCGACAATAGTGCTCCCAAATTTAAGTCTTACGCCTACAAAGATTTCAAAATTCGCAAGCTTAAGCAGCTTACACTTGACGACTGAGAAGAAAATCATGAAATGAAGAAGAAGTGTTTCTATTATTGCGTCTGCTTTAAATAATGACTATTGAAGTTTTCTTCTACATAATTTATCAATCTACTGCATGATTGTGTAGGTGTGTAGCGCGCACTATTTAAAATAATCATATTTGGATTGTTGTTATGTGTTAATTAACTGCGTCATTATTTTTTTGGTTTAAAGCTTTAAACTTTATAAGTTTTTCGATAGCGGTTCACAGGAAAAAAAAAAAAAAAAAAAAAAGGTTCTTCGATAGCGAATCTCATTTTACATATAAAAAAAATTATAGTGGTTGAAGTCAACATTTTTACATAATTTTGGTAATTCATTCCCAGAACTAGAATCTACAAGACTACAATACAAGTTGAAATTCCAAAAGTTTATAATGAAATACTAAGGCAAACCAATTGTATTGTTCAAAAAACATCAAAATATAGATGGTTGGAAATTGGAATAGTTTGGTTGGCAGAAAAGAAAACTCAATTACAAGAAATACACGATGATTAAAATAAGGTTGAGTCGTGACTATATTGTACGTATATAAATGATAGTGTATTTTGGTGTAATTGAGTTTTCTTAATTACATGCGCTACTACAATCATTGTAGTTACAACTTTTTTGTTGGTCCGACCATGATCACAGAGTCCAAATGTCAGTGGGTTGTGCTTTTAGAATTTAGTATATGACCAATCAGCGTTCCAAACTTGGAAGCATATTACTTTATAGCCCAGCCCAGCAAAAGTCTCACCACTTGCACTAATGCTTGCACGTTGTCAATCATGACATCCTCTGTTTTTCCTTATTTTCTACTTGCCATTGCTCCGCCTCTACAAATCCCTCCCACCCAAGAAAAAGAAAACAAAAAAAGACTGATGATTTTAATTAGTACAACTTATAGAGATGTACTTCATTAAATCCTTAAGAGACAACACAAACCAGTATATTGTCGCCAATGTTGACGGTTATGGCAGTGGGAATGTAGTGGACATCGAACCAGAGATCCTCCTTGAAAAATTTGGCTATTCTATTATTCCGTTAATTCATTATTCATATGACATACAACTATTCAGCTAATCCGTTAATTCATATGACATTCAACTAAAACCCTTATTTATCCCAATGAAATCATTTTCGTAATTAATTAGATCTTGAAATGTACTTCAGCCTATGCTATTTGTCCCCTAACTAGCTAGACCATTTATTTGAAGGCGGAGATTAGTACATATGTATGGAGGAGAATATTTGGGCCAGATTCTGTTGAAAAATATCTCCCTTTTTGACATACTTAATTGAGGCGAGAGAAACCACGTACACATGTTCTCGGTCCAAATAATTGAGATCCTCTTTACTCTATTTATTAAAGCCCGTTTTAGTCTTCTCTTCTCCTTCTCACACCTATCACTCTAAGAAAAGCCAACTTGGCAACTAAAGTGAACCATATATGGAAGATGAGAGAAACCACAACATATCTTCTTCGTCTCTCCCGTCTTTTTGCAAGCAATTGGCGAGCTCAAGTACTCTTCGGGAGAGCATGGAACTGGACATTCCCATCATTGATCTAAGCGTTTCTAATGAAGAGCTCCTGGTGCGTGAGGTGACGAAAGCGAGTGAAGGTTGGGGAATTTTTCAGGTGGTTAACCACGGAATTCCGATGGCGCTGATGCGGCAGCTGCAAGTGGTTGGGAAGCAGTTCTTTGACCTCCCGGAGACAGAAAAGGAAGCCGTGGCGCAAGACGAAGATATTGAAGGATACAAGAAAAACTATCTAGACGGTATTAAGGCTTGGGACGAACATCTCTTTCACAGACTCTCCCCACCCTCTATCATCAATTATAAGTATTGGCCAAAACATCCTCCCCAATATAGGTACGTAACGTTACCTAGAAACGTGATAGTATGAGTTAAGTAATTCAAAACCAGTTAGCAATGATCCGATTGACTCATCTTTTTACGTTGTAACTGATTTCCTAACACCTCTTTCAAAAAAAAAAAAAAAAACAAACTGATTTCCTAACAAAATCTCTAATTCAAAAGTTGGATATTGGTTGATATATATGTTGGGAGATGGAGGTTTCAGGGAGGTGAATGAGGATTACACAACGCATGTGAAGAAGCTAACAAAGAAAATTCTTGGTTGGTTATCAGAGGGACTAGGGTTACCTTCCGTGACGTTGACGCAAAGATTAGGTGGGGAAATGGCACAGTATTTGATTAGGGTCAATTACTATCAGCCGTCCTCCAAATCTGAATTAGTCATAGGAGGCGCTGCGCACACCGATATAGGTGCAATCACACTTCTCGTCCCAAATGAAGTTCCTGGACTACAAGTCTTCAAGGACGAAAAATGGTTGGACGTTGAGTATATGGACTCAGCAATGGTTGTTTTCATCGGCGATCAACTCATGGTCTCACTGATTATGTTTTCTTTTTTTTCCTTTAGTTTTTATGATAAAAGATATGTTTTTTTAGTTTAGAGTTGGGAAAGTTTAGGGTTTGATTTGTAAATTCAATTGATTGTAGAGGATGACCAACGGGAGGTTCAAGAACGTGCTTCACAGAGCAATGTTGGATAAGGAAAGATTGAGGATTTCTTGGCCGGTTTTTGTTTCGCCTAGGGATGATATGTTGGTCGGACCTTTGCCTGAGCTTACGGGAGACGAGAATCCTCCCAAATTCGAGACTTTAGTTTTTAAAGACTATACGCAGCAGACGCTCAAAAGCTGGGCGGTCGAGAAGCTTTATAGTTTATAAAGAATCCTCTCTACTGAAAACCCTAGAAACCCATGAACAAAAAATCTCTCAATAAATTATGATGAATTGTCCAAGTGTTCGTATCTTTTTTTTCTTTTTTTCTTTTGGAGTTACATTCAAATAATTAATGCTATATATGGTTCACATAATAAAAATATATATGAAAAAGACTAATAATCCTCTAGAAAAAAAAAAGTAATAACACAAAATAGCCAGCTACTAAATATATTTTTCATATGTATTCGACCCAAAAAAAATTGTTATATGAAAAATGGCTATCATGTCGATTTGGAAGCGGTTTGACGGAATTAATCGTCATTCATTCTCATCATTATTATGTTCTTCCCCATTTATTACAAACTTACAATACAATATTACTTTCTACAGTAGATTCAGTCATTTAAAAAAAATGATATATGAAAATATTTTTGAGTGTAACGCGGGTATTCTTCTATAAATATAATGGTTTCTTACATGCTCGTTATTTAAAATTTTAGCAATATGTGGTAGTGGTCAAACAAAACACACAATGGTCCGATATTATATTTGAGTTCAGTCGACTGGAAGTTTAAGGAGTCTCCGGTACTTAAAGTCCTTGCATGTAATAGGCTTGAACATAGCGGGACTATCCTCGGTAATTAGCTCAGGCAATGGTCCGATGACCACATCAGGATTAGCATCCACAAAGACCGGCCATGACATCCTCTGTTTTTCCTTATCCACTATTGCTCTATGCAACACATTCTTGTACTTTCCATTGCTCAGCCTCTACAAATATATCCCACCAACTTATATATATAGAGATAGATGTACGTACTTCATTAAATCATTAATTAAGAGACAAATTAACAAACCAGAATCTGATCGCCAATGTTGACGGTTATGGCAGTGGGAATGTAGTGGACATCGAACCAGCGATCGTCCTTGAAAATTTGGAGACCTGAAACTCCATTGGTGACGATGATTGCGATACCGATGATATCAGTATGCTCTGGTACTCCCAGAGTCAACTCCGGTTTGGGGTCAGGAGGATAGTTGTTGATCCTCATTACATACTCAGTCGACTCGCCGCCAAGACCTTGTAATAAGGCCTCACGTGGTAACCCTAATCCCTCTGATAGATACCCCAAAACCCTCTCTGATAGCTTCTTTGTCTCCTTTGTGTACTCTGCAATTACTTCTCTGTAATCGCCATATGAAAAGTATCAAAAGAATGAATTGGGTGCAGAAAACAAAACAAAGGTGGATGGTGTAGTTTTTTTTTATGTTTTATGCTTTGAATTAATTTTTGTATATTTTTACCACTCCAAAAATTCATCAAATTATTACATTTCCAGGGTTTTTAAACGAGTGTGCTACACATGGACTATGTTTATTTGGGTTGACAAAAAAAAAAGTTTGTTAATTAAATCATTCAGTTTTGTTCCATTAATACAGCTCAAACCCCAAATTAATCCAAATTATTTCATTTTCCACTACAAATGTTGCTTATTTTCAGTGATGATTCCTTTCAGAATTAATTCAACGTGAAATAGTTGGATATAAAATAAAATAAAAAACTCCATGTTATGCTATTTGTGATCCTAAGTAACAAGACAATTTAATTTGTAGGCAAAGATTAGTTTAGTACCTGTATTGAGGAGGATTATTGGGCCAATAAGTAAGATTGATACAAGAGGGTGGCCAGATTCTGTGAAAAAGATTCTCAGTCCAAACTTCTCCTTTGACGTACTTGAGATTCGTGGTGTAACCTTCGAAGTCTTTGGAGCCAGCTTGTTTCGCTACGGCATTCTTCTCCTTCTCCGGGAGATGGAAGAACTGTGCACCAACCTCCTTCAACCGCCCTATCAGATCCATCGGTATTCCATGATTAACCACGTGAAAGATCCCCCACTCTTCACTCGCTTTCACCACCGCACGCGACACTTGCTCTTCGTCAAGGTTGCTTAGATCCACTACAGGGATCGTCTCGGCCATAAGAGATGCTGTATGCGGACGTTGGTCTCTCTCGACTTCCATGATTGTTGCTGAAAATAATGGAAGGTGAGAGAGGTACGTAACTTCGATTCTTTGTGAAAGTTTGTGATGAGTAGTACTAGGCACATAGGCCTGTCCCGTTTTTCAACCTTAATTGTTTGAATTAGACCGACACTATTATTACGTTCACACACTAAAGTATCCACTACACCACCTAATCATCTACTGACTTATGATTTTTTTTTTTTGTTTATTTATTACTCAAACATTCACTATACTACCTAATCAGTAATCACCTACTACCTTATGCAACTATTGAAATCCGTTACTTATACATTAAACACCAAAAATATCTATGAAAGACGAAAATAATCTGTTCGTGTCGTTATGCTAATGATGTCTTTTTTTTTTGGTTGGTCAACTGTTTTCGTCACTCTTGTTTACATTATTCATTTATATCATTAACACACATTTCAAAAAAAAAAAAAAAAAAAAAAAACTGTACTCGATAGCACAATTATATAGTTTAATGGATTTATTGTTTTTAAGAAGTAATAATAAATCTTAAGGATACAACAGAAACAATTACACTAACAGGAATATATGATTTCATAATACCAAAATCCCAAGCTCTACCGATGAAACATAAGAAAACAAAAACAAAATTCAACTCACTACACAATAATTCTTATTTCATCAACCCGTAAATAATGTCCCCAAAACAGAAGATTGTGAAACTAAACTCAGGGTTGGGTTATAGAAGATTCTATAACATTCTAGATCCTACTGAGGACCCTCTCGGCCGCAGCAATCGTGAACTCTATATCCTTGGGACTGTGAGCCAAGCTCGTAAACCCGGCCTCGAACTGAGATGGTGCAAAGTAAACGCCTTCTTCCAACATTCCCCTGAAGAACCTACCAAACTTCTCTGTGTCGCTCTTCTTTGCATCTGCAAAGTTGTAGACCGGTCCTTCTGCGAAAAAGAAACCAAACATACCGCTTATGTAACCGCCGCACATTGGATGCCCGGTTTTCTTTCCGGCTGCCAAGATTCCGTTAGTTAGCTCCTTTGTGATCTTGTCCAAATACTCGTATGTTCCGGGCTGCTTTAGCCTCTTCAGCGTGTGAATCCCTGCGGTCATTGCCAGTGGATTACCACTTAGAGTCCCGGCTTGGTACATTGGTCCTGCAGGCGCAACCTACAAAGAAAAGAAGAACACATACATTGTTTATATATACGTTTCAAATTCGGAAAAAGCAGAGCCGAAAAACAGAACGGCCACCCCCCAGTGTTGAAGTTTCTTTTAAGTATAGAGCCAGAACCTCACCATCTCCATAATATCACGTCTCCCACCGTATGCTCCCACAGGAAGACCCCCACCAATGATTTTTCCAAGAGTTGTTAGATCGGGCGTGATTCCGAAGTATTCTTGGGCTCCACCATAGGCTAAACGAAAGCCTGTCATGACTTCATCGAAGATGAGAAGAACACCGTTGTCTTTTGTCAGCTGGCGTAAACCGTTGATGAATTCCGGTGTAGGAGGAATGAATCCAGAGTTACCAACAACAGGTTCGAGAATAACCGCAGAAATCTCGCCTTTATGCGCCGCAAAGAGCTTCTCAACAGCTTCAATATCGTTGTACGGAGCTGTTAAAGTATCTGAGGTAGCTGCTTTGGGGACACCTGGTGAGTCCGGTAGCCCTAAAGTAGCTACACCACTACCAGCTTTAACAAGGAAGGCGTTTGCGTGACCGTGGTAACATCCTTCGAACTTGATGAACTTCTCTTTGTTAGTGAAGGCTCTGGCGAGACGGAGCACACCCATACAAGCTTCAGTACCAGAGTTGACAAACCGAACCATTTCAATGCTAGGAACAGCTGATATGACCATCTCAGCCAGAACATTCTCTAAGAGACAAGGAGCACCAAAGCTTGTTCCTTTCTTCATCGTCTCAGCTAGAGCCGCGAGAACCTGTCGAAGTTTAATCAAAAGATTAAAAGGTCTATGTTCAGAAAACTTGAGTTTGCGAAACTAAGGAAGTGAGAAACGGTACCTCATCATCAGCATGACCGATAATAGCTGGTCCCCAAGATCCAACGTAGTCAATGTACTCATTTCCATCAATGTCCCACATTTTAGAGCCTTTAACGGAATCAATCAGAACTGGTTGCCCACCAACGGATTTGAAGGCTCGAACAGGGGAATTCACACCTCCAGGCATTAGATTCTTTTCATGAAATAAAAAAAAGATGCATTTTTTCCAGATAGTCAGGGATTATTATAGACGGCAACAACGTTAGCACACGTTTCTATATGCGCAACACAAGTCAAGCCAACGTAGTAAAACCAAAATCATGAATCAAGTCCAGTGAGCCAGATCCTGATCATTTCACGACGAAGATCCGAACTTTGCATTCTGAAACCCCGAAAAATTCCAAAAGATACAATTTTGCATTCTGAACTAAGATTCTTATGAACTGATCATTCTGCGAGACTATCCTATAATCCAGATAAACTTTATAATCCTCTCCGAGATTTCAACCAGAACGAAATTAAAAAACCATTATTAGAAGCAATCAAAATCGATTTACCTTAGCAGCATTAAAAGCTTCCTCTGATTTCTGAAGGGTGAAACTTTTCTTCTTCTCGTCGACTGAAACAGACATCTTGATGCAGCATCGGTTAGAAGAAGAAGAAGAAGCTCTCTTCGAGATCTTCGAGGAGCACGAAAACCCTAAAGCAGTTCCCGATCCTGTGAGCGTCGCCGACATCTTTGCTTCTGAAAGTCGCTGTCTCTCACGGTCGGAGTTGTTGGTAATCCAAGGTAGTGGGTGGGCTTTCTCAGACACGACGAAGAGTCAACAAGATAAGGCGATGCCCAGCCACCGGGTTTTTATATTTCAATTTTACCGGGTCGACCCGACCCGTATACAAAACTCACTCAAATCAAATCATTTTTATTTTAATATTATAGGTGTTTTAATCGAATGTGATAATATTATAAGTCTATATTTGTGTTCTGCTATTATTAATTTTTAAAATTTTGATTTATAATATGTGGATTACTTATTTCATTTATCATATATGAAATTTACATGTTATAACTCATGCACGAATATAAACGTTTAATGTTTTGGTTTATGTAAAAATAAATTTACAAATAATATTTTTTCCCCTAGGTGAGCATGAAGTTTCAGAATTAGCCAATTTACTTTTCGTAGTGATATCTTTGCTAGATACAGTATGATAGTTTAATCTATTAAGCAAGATGTAACTTGTAGATACTAGTAATTGATCTCTAAAGAAAATCAAAGATTTGATCTCTTACCAAACAACATTTTAGTAACACAGTAGCTTCCTTATTAAACTTGATACTTTTAACATCTTTAGTTACATCCTTGCTCCACCGCATATACGACCATAAACACGTAATCGTTCATCATTATTTGTTTTTAAATCATAATTAATTTATAAAAGACATACGTAAATAGTTACGCACACCACATGTATAAGCTGCCTCATATCATATATCCATAAGCCCTTGGAACACTTTCATAGCCGAACCAGGAAGTCCAAGCAACACATTGATACTCTTCGTGTCACTGCCACATGGCAAGAACAGAATCACTTCCTTCTCTGTAAACCCACCGGTCCAGACACAACCGGTTCACCCCAACCGAAGTCCTTCGTATGCAACGACAGTTTTGCCCATGATGTGATCAGAAGCGTAGCCGTTAGGCTCGGTCTAGCCCGAGTCACCTCAAAGTAATCAATCGCTGACCTCATGAAACCGTCGTTGACCATTTCAACGGCGCTTTTGATCAAACCCACCGAATGAGAAAGAGGGTTTAAAGTCACTTCACCTGCCGTTGTAACGCAATAAGTGAACACAATCCCGTTTCCGGAGTATCCTTTAGGAAGGTCTGGAACGAATCTCGACCGTCCATCTGCAGCAAATAGAAGTTTTATCCGTTGATCAGGTCTAAGCCCTAGAGCTTGACAACGAGCTCTCCATAGAAATCCTGTTAGGGTTTGAAAAGTCGTGGATCTCGTCTCTGCCATGATCTTGAGCCTCTCCAGTTTTTCCGGTCCGAATAGGAAGGATTTGTATACGAGTATCTCGTCGAAGTAGAGTTTTCCCGTGCCTGATATGTCATCTAGGTCCTCGAACTCGTTGTGTGGGAAATCGATCTTTGGTGGAGTTCGTGGTCGGAGAAGTGTGCGGTCCAAGAAAGGTGGGAGGGAGAGAGGAAGGCCACGAGCCGTCTCGGCCCAAGAGTTGAGGAACTCCATTGCTGCGATACCATCGAACATATTGTGGTTCATGCCTAGTCCTAGTACGAATCCTCCACATTTGAAATTTGTCACCTATCAAACAAAAAAGTTGTATGGAAGCATAGTATACAAACGTATGCGATCAACTAAAGACGATTACTTTAGTCGTATTTATTAACGAATGTGCTGCCCAAAAGACAAGATTAATTCTATCAAAAATTTTAACCTTTTACCAAAAAGAAAAATATTATATGTTGAATTGCATATTGGCAAATAAGAATCCTAATAAATTATTTGGTCGGCAATCACAAATTCACAATAGTCTTCTTAAAACCTCAATTATGGATGTATAAATTACATTTGATCATTATAAGTCTATAAGTTCATTTACGTATATGTTATTGGGAAAATATTTTGTATTTCTTTTCTTTTTTTGACTAATTAGCGTATTTATGCATGCATGATAATGATTAATCTAATTGTACTATATACGATATTTATTTGAAACCAATATCGGACCAAACCCTAGAGTATAGGTCATGTTCGTTAACTCACACAAAAACAGCAAGCAAAAACAGTATCAAACCCTCACCTGAACAACTACTGGAGGAATCTCAAGAATATTCCGAGCACCGGGAACGTCGTAAACCAGCTTTTCAAGAGTCTCTGGTTGATCAATCTCCGATATAGCCTTCTTTATCTTTTCTATCCCACAATTGGCCTCAGCTTCCACCACGACAACTCCTTCTCCGGTGCAACCAACAGCGATCTTTCCTTCGGGGCTGATCGTCAGTCTCCCGGCGGCAGGATAGTAGTGAACAAGAACCTCAGAGAGTGACTTCTTGATAACTTCATAAGATTTCTCGTTGGATCTTGAGTTTGATTTGAAGTAGTAGAAGGTTTTGACGATGATGGCGATGTTTTGATCAAGATTTGAGAGATAATGGAGACCTTTGGGAGTTTCAGACGCTGGAGAGACAAGAACAGGTTCTTTTCGGGTTACGATGAGCTCAAATGAGTCGGCCATCTTTCAGGGAGGGTTTTTTTTGGAGACTTGAGGATGGATATGAATTATAGGGAGGATTTTATCAAATGGGTTAAGTAGAGGCTAGGGTTTGAGGTTCATTGTGGTACAAGTAAATATTTCAGCAAATGTGAGCCAGAGAGAGAGAGAGAGAGAGACGTATTTGAGAAACACATGTTAATCTAACGACTTGAATAACTTAAAATCTGGAATGATTAAAGGTGTAGTGACCAATTAGATCGGTCAAATAGAACTGTGTTAAGCTTGGTCCAAAAATAATCTCTCTTTCCTTTTTAATTGATAGGTTGAAACTTGAAAGAGTATATGATTCTTTTCTTTTAACTTTACTAGACTGATCCCATCTAAAATTGGGTAGTAGCTTTTCTTGTAATATAAAGACTCCTTCGATATTGTGATTTATTAGTGGATTCTATTTTAAAAATATCATTAGTTGTAATGGCCCTAATTGAATGTAACTTGGCGTCAAGAAAAACCGAATTTACTTCTCCATGACATCCTTTACTTTTTGAGCCTGAAACAGAATATCAAAATAGCAAGAAAAACCTATGCTTAGTAAATTTTTGCAATGAAATATATGTTTGCAAGATATAGAGTGTTTTTTTTTATGAACGTACAAAAGTTTCAAGTTCCGTTTCATGATACTATAAAAATCGGAAAACAGAATTTAGATAAAATATACGAATGTCTTTAAACTAAATCCAAAAAAACTTTCCCACAATATCATCAAATAGAAACAAGGATTAGAAAACCTAACAGGTAACAATAACTACACAAGAAAAAGAAAAAAGACGCTTAAAACTACATAACGAGAGTCAGACTACAGAGATTACACAGTACATAATACAGATTCGACACATTCTATATGTCACTTGTTCTGATTCACAGCTGTATCAGTTTTTTGCTTTCCTTCACATCAGATATTGAGAGAAGAAAAACAAAATTCTAACCTTAATCCTTTTGCTCTTCCTTTTCTTCTTCTTCTTCACCTTCTTTTTCCTCCTCTTTGTCACTTTCAGCCTCAGCTTTTACCTCTTCTCCCTCTTCTTTTTCTTCTTCCTTCTCTTTGTCACTTCCTGCCTCAGCTTTTTCCTCTTCATCGTCTTCTTCATCATCAGTCATTGCATTTATGGCATCTGTGATCACATCCTTCACCTCTGGTTTTCTATGCGACAGTTCCACACCAAAGTGGGCGCCTGACGTTATCAGATATCACAAACACCATATGTTAGCAAAAGCCTCCTGAACATTTGGAAAGTATAAACATAAATTGAGATAATAGATTTATAAAAGCCAAAACTCAAGGACATACTTAGCTTCTGCAGAATATCTGATAGTGTTGCCTGTTTTAAGAAAAACAAAGTGTGTGAGAACTTGAGAACATCTATTCAAGGTTTTAGACCATTACATTGTATTTGGATTTGGGCGAATTGAATCATCTTACCGTATTGAAATCTACTTCCTTCAGAATTTTGGATACCACTTCAAGCATCTCTTCTCTGGTGGGCTCTGCTTTGGCTTTTCCTTTCTTCGTGGCTTTTCCTGTATCCAATCCATCATGATATAAGAGAACAATAATAAAGTAACTAGCTTCAAAGACTAATAGAATAACTTCTTAAAAAACATAAATAAAAAAAGGCCAAGCTTTAGAAGCAGCTGAGAAATGGTTGTAACCTTTCTCTTTAGATCCCTTAGCCTGTGGCTTACTTGGCTGTTTCTTGCTTTTCTCTTTCGAAGGCTCGACGTGATCAACTTTTTGCTTCTTAGCTGGGGATGAAGCTGACTTAGCAATTTGTTTGGAGGACTTCTCACCAGATTTTGCAGAACCTTTAGCAGAAGCTGGCTTATCCTTACCTTTAGACCCTGAGCTCTCCTCTACAGTCTTTTTCGATGAGCTTCTCTTTTTGGATGGTTTCTCATCCTCTGCTTTGTCTTTTTCATCTTCAGTGTCAGTCTTTTCATGGTCACTATTTTCCTCTGGCGCTGCATCATCTTCATCATGAGGATCATTAGTTCCTTCAGAGTCAGCATCTCCCTCATCCTTGCCTTCTTCCATGTCAGATGGCTGATCTCGCTTCTTTGTTTGCCTTTTTCTCTGTGTAGCGACAAAACATACATAATCAACCAAGAAATGAGTGTTCAACCCATGGTCAACAGCTAATAAATAAAGACACACAGATGAAAAAAGCATATAATAATTGATGCAAATGATTATAATCCGACCATGCACATTTAAAATCATAATTTGACATTAGTCATGTGAGGAAAATACAAGGAAACAAGGTATGAAAGGTGCCAGTAGCAGGCAAGGAATACAAATAAGATAACTGAGATGATAAACAAAGTACAAACCTTGGCTGGGGTGTCTGAAGATTCTCCAGATTTCCCCCTTTTTTGTGTACTCTTACGCTTTTTCGCCTGCCAAAAATGAATTCAATCTCCCATTGCGAATGAACATAGAACAATAATTTACAGAATCCAACAGTACCTTTTCTTGATCAGCTATTACAACATCTCTTGTTTCTTTGGGAGATTCTAAAAATTCAAGCACTTTGACAGCTAGTTCTTCCTGGAAGTATAAGGATAGAGGATTTCTTAGAATGTAGAATAAGGTACAATAAATAGATAGACCACATCATCTTATCACTTACTTTTTTCATGTTGCTTCTGTTTATAGGTATATCAAGCACATCACAAAAAACTATCAATTTTTCTTTTATGCATTTGTCAATCTTCTCTTTTATTCGTGCTCTCTGCTTCTCTTCCTGAGAAACATTAAACTACAAGTTTTATCACGAGGAAAACCAGCATTCACATCCCTGTAACAAAAGCTTGAAATGGGTTATACCTCATTCTCTGACCATGTAAAGCCAGAAAATTGACCAATGTTTCTCTTAACCATCTGCGCCTGCAGAAAAAAATTCACAAAAAGCTTTAAATAGCTATGCACTGGAAAGAGACAGTGAAAATTCCACGACAACATCCATATTAACGGAGACAAAAGCTTGCTACTGAAATCTACATATCAAATGTGGGAAACATGTAAAGCACCTTTGCTTTCTTCCCATAAAGAATGGTGTGTAATAACATCAGGTTGTCATCAGCTTTTCTCTTGGATAGTTTATGAGCCACTGAAACAGCCAACATAATCAGACAGCTTTCTAATTGTAAATATAAGTATTCAAGACTCCATCAAAAGAACTAAATTTCTCACCCTCAAGTTAGATAAACAAACAAGAGAACGAAAGAAAAGTCAAACATTTTATCATCTTCTCATCAACCACAGTGTAGTTAGCTACCAAAGAAAAAACCTAATTGAATCTTACCAAGTCTAACTAAATCAGGGACAGTAGGTTATATGCTAATGGTGATAGCTACAACATGAAAAATTCCACCAGAACGTCAGAATAGAACTAAAGGAAACCAAAAGCCACAAGCTTTTCTAATGAAATAGTTCTATCTACAATAAAATCTCACAGCAGCTATCTCATCTTCTAGATCTAAGATGTGCCAAACCAGCAAAGATTGTTCATTAATCAGCCTGACAACAATTAGATCTACACATCACAAAATTCACAAACAGAATTGATGAGTCTACGTACCATTTGGAATTTCCCTGAGAGGTGTTCCACGACCCTGCACACAAAAAACACAGAAAAATAATTAATTGATCCAATTCTCACAATCGCAGATACGAAAGACAAACAAAATTTACATCAAGATACCTTTCCAATTGAAACAGACTTGCTTGGTGTAGCCCGCATAGGAGTAGACAACGAGAAACGCTCAACCTTCTTTCTCTCCCTCGTTGGTCTGTCACTGGTCGGAGTCACCGCTTCTTTCTCCGACGATTTCTTACTTCCACTTTCGTCTTCTTCTTCTTCTTCTACTTCTTCTTCCTCCTCCTCACTTTCTACAGCGTCTTCTTTATCTTTAACCTTCTCCTCCAATTCTCCCTCTTTCTTCGCTTCACCCTCTTCTACATCTTCCTTCTTCTCCACCTCAGCCTTTATTGGCAAATCCGCTTTTTCTTCCTCCTTCTCTTCCTTCGCAGCACCAATTTCCTCCTTCGCCGGTGATTCCACTTTCGGTATTTTCTCTTCTAGGGTTTCAGTCGCCATGTTAGACCCAAACAACAGACGAATCAAGATGAGAGAAATGGCTAAAGAAAATTGTTTTTTTTATCAGATTTGGGAAACTCGAAACTCGAAAACCCTAATTCAACGATTATGAATAAGAGAAACGAAAACAAAAATCAAAATTTGGGGATTTTTTCAAAATTTCTGGTGGCAAAAATTAGAACACAAAGGCGGGCTCTTTTCTCATCCCCAAAATTTTCACCAAAATAAATCAGCTCGCGGCAAAACTAACCCAAATATATATTCATACACATCATATATACATACAGCAAACTCGGCCCAATTTTATAACAGGCCCAATTTTATTCATAATTAGCCCAACTAATTCCTCACTTTTTTTGGACAATACAATTTCTTTTCAAAAAAGCAAAATAAAAAATTGATTTTGGAGGGAAAACCCAAAAAAAAATCCCTAAATTTCGCCGGCGAAATGCGTAGACGACGCCTGCAACTCCGGTACTCCTCCGACGAAGAAGAAGAAGAAGGCGAAGTTGGAACTGGAACAAGCGGAATTGGTGATTCTGTTCAGAGCGTTGGTCTTGCCTCAGCTATACAACCGGAAACCTCAGTAGCTTCGAATTCTAACCCCAATGCCGGCGAAGCAATTGCTGTATCGGAAGTTGAGATTATCGACGTATTTGGTAATCCTCCTCCTACACCGCCGGATTCTGGTATTCCTACTCCGTATCCGGTTGATTTGTCGGAGACAGAGTCGGAGTTTGTGAGCGGAAATGATTATGAATCGCCTATCAGTGGCGTTCTTTCTCGATTAGGGATTAAATTGAAGAGAGAGTGGTGGGTCTCTTGTCTTTCTGGACTTGAAACTTCAGTTCCACAATTTTCCCGCCTCGATGTTGCAGCTAAAGCTAAGCACTGCTTTGAGCAGTTCATGTTTTCCGATATGAATCTATGCGGAGGTGGGGTTCTTCCTCGGAATGTTGCGTCTATGAATCTTATAGAACTCGCTGGTCCGTTTGTTCTGCAGGTTATCTGATTGTTTAGTGTTTACCCTTTTTTGTTGGAACTGTTTGTATAATGCACTGAAGATTTCACTTAATTCCTCAAATTTAGGTTGATGAGATTGTTAACATTGGCTGCCCACTCAAAGGGAGGTATGAAAATACTAATGCAGGGCTTAAGAAGTGTCTTAAGTTATCCATGACAGATGGTGTACAACGCGTTTTTGGGATGGAATACAGGCCTATTAAAGATCTTCAAGTCCTGGCTCCTGCTGGTTTAAAGGTGTGTTTTTTTTTTTTTTGTTGAGGATTGTAATTGTGAAAATTGTAGATTATCTTTTGGGATGAAAAATAGCATCTGATATTTGTTCTAAGGCCAATGCACAGCCTTTAAATTATCTATACATATCTGTGTTTTTAGTAAAAGCACTGACAAGGACAGTAAAAATGCAGATTGTTGTATCCAGTGTACAAGTTAGGCATGGGCTTTTAATGCTAGTACCTGAGATTGTAGAAATTTTAGGAGGGATGGTTGAAGAACTAGAAGAAGCAAGAAAGCGTCTGGTTGTTGAAGTAAACAAACCTCCAAGAGGAAAAAGGTAGATTTATTTAAAACTTGATATTTCTCCAGCTCATGTTTCTCCCGCTCACTTCATATTCAAAAATTGTGTCATGATGTATGTCTCTTCAGTTGGAACTATTATTTGCAACGAATTTGTTTCTTCGATTTCTTTGGCTACAGCTTCTTTGATCTTGAGAAGCGTGACTCGTTTGGAGTCTGCCTTACGATTTACTAGTTCAGTGAATTCTGCATTTTGATTGGATTCTGTGGAAAGATGATGCATGATATAAGTTGAAACACGGTTTATAAAAGATTACCAACTGTATTTTCTAATTGCAGTTGTAAGTTTTACACTTATTGTCAAAAAATTTATATGATTATAAATTTTGCAGAACAAGGAGTGGAGTGGTTCCTGCATTGGCAACCAGAGCAACTCTAGCTGCGTGGCCGCTAAATGGCAATGATACTGGTAATCATGTAAATAGTTCTACGTCAGGCAATTCTAGTCACGCTCAAACCAATGTTCAAGGTAAGGATGTTTCTACATTAATCTTCTTGTTAAGAGAAAACTACATGTCAACAAGAAAATTAGCTGCATGTTTCAAAAGTAGAGTTCACAAAATTAGCCACCTGAACCAGAGTAAGCATTTGTTCCATCACAAGAAAGTGGATAAGTGAGAATCAAAGGAAACAGTCTTTTCCCATTTTCTCGTTTGTGTCGTAAATTATAACATACTACAACATTCATGGTTCGTTCTGTGTTTCCTATGATGTTTTCTCACTTAACCATAACTAATATGTAACTGTGTTTACTACAAATTTTAAAACGTGCTTGGTGTCTCTCTGAGAAAATGTCAAAATGATGTCTGTCCTTAGATACTTTTAGTAACATGAGAAATCCACTTTATTTTGAGATTATTAGTGGCTGTTGCTCTCTTTTAACCATAACACTTATGGCAGGCATACCTGTAAATGTAACGAGAACTCACATTAGTTCACGGGCAATGGATGAGCCTCCTGTTTCTACCAATGTGGAATCTACTGTTTCAAGGGTTGAGGATATGCAGATTGATACTGCTTCTGCGCAGATGGAAAGAACGTTTTCTGATATACACTCAACTTCTAGTAACACTCACCGGGCAGCATCCACAGCTGGTACTAGTTGCAATGGTACAAGATCTTTTTCCAACATTGTTGGTCGAAGTACATTGGATCAACAAACATCTAACGTGACTTCATTTGTTGAAGAAATGCATGTTGACACTGGTCGTGTAAGGGACACAACGTCTCATGTATATGGTTCAGGATCAGGCGGTATAGCAGATGCAAAAGTCAGTAATGTGGTTATCGATTTGGAAGGCCCTTCTGTGCTAACAAATACAGAGAAGCCTTTCACTTACTTAGCCGAGTTGTCTAAAAAATGGGCAGTAAGGAAAGATACCATGCATTTTGTTCAAGGAAGGATCAAAGTACTAACACCACTTATTAAAAATTCTTTCAGACTCAGTCTTCAACCGATTGGCGGATTAGGGTTTCAATCTTTGTTGCTAAAGTACCTACTTTTTGCAGTGCTTTCTAACCGGAGTGAAGAAATTCCAGTTCAAGCAACAGTCTATCTATGAGCTCATATGCTACGTAGATGATGGTAGTCTTATCTGTGAGATCTTGCTCCATAACGACGTAAGTCCCATCCATCATTTTGCAAATTTTTTGATCAATTAGAATGAAGATCACCCATCAGGTCCATATTATTCCTTATGCAGATTGTACAAGAAAGGATAGGTCATTCATCCATGGAAGTCACAGCTGCTCTTTCCTCTTCGGCACCAGCATCAGTAAATGCCATGATGAAAGAGAAACTGAAACGCTACCAGTTGTTTCTGGCTGACTTCGAGGTACACCTGCTAACTTGTGTTTTCTAACATATCAGTTTTAGACCGACTTTATTCTATGATCAGATTCAGATACATCAAAGATAAGTTGGTTTCAGACACAAGTCGAGTACAGAAACTAGGCTTTGGACTGAATGATAAGACCCAAGCGGACACAACCAAACTATGCTTAGGAAAACTAGTTTTTTGAAAATGTTAATTTTTATGTAACTGCAGGGAATAATGATGGTAGAAATGAACAGATCATCACAATATCCGGTAGCAATTGAAATGAATCAGGGATGTTCGTTAACAGATGCTCGGTTACTCTTTGAAAGAATCAAACCTTCTTCAATAACATACTCAAGCTTAAATCCAGTTGTTGTTCTATCCCCTTGAACCTTGATCCAGTAGTTTTACTAATAATGCATGTTGTAAATTTCATGATAATTTTTTCCCCAAGTTTTATTTAATTACGATTTTTGGACTTGCTGTTTAACAAATTATAGATACTAACAACTTTATAGGAGGAGTAGAGTAGATAAACATCTCACTTCAATCATCAGTCATCAGCCATTGTGATCAATTTATAACTTTTGCAAAAGTTTTTATTTCCTGCATTTAGTTTCTGCGCCAATAGATTTGTTATATGATTTGATGACGCATATTCCAACCGATCGTCCATTATGGGAAAAAACAAGGATCGGGTCGGGAATTGATAAGTTTTTGTTTGATTTGAGAGTGTCGGGTCTTTTCTTCTTTTTTGTTTGTGGGTTTGAATTTAACCTTTTAACTCAAGACTCTTTGTTCGGTAAAAAACACAGTGTTATCTTCTTTCGGTAGTTTCCTCTTTTTTTAAAAAAAAAACACGAAAGTCTTTGCACATAAAAAATAGTAGTAATAATAATACATCAAAGTCTTGTATTTGTTTTTTTTCTTCTGTTCTGAAAAAGAAATCAATCGTTTCGGATTTTAGATATTGGTCTAGCTTAGGTATAGCCAAAATCATATGGGGGTCCCTGATTTATCAAATCGGTCAATGAATATGTCAAAGTCTTTTCTTGCCTAAATGACATATTATTATATTATAAATTTCAGTTGTATTAATATTGAACAAGAATTATAGAAAACAAAAAAAGATTCGAGTAATCTACTTCAAGCATTTGATGATGATGCCTAACTAATTTTCGAACACTAGTTTTCTTTCCAAAGTCGTCAGGTTATAAAGAAACCATGTTTAAATATGGACCATTAGAGCCAGCCATAAGACATTAAAAAAAAAAACAGTTATGAAAGTTGAAACAAAATAAATAAATAAATTAAAAAAAAAAAAATAATAAATAAATAAAGAAGAATAACGAAACTAGCCACTATAAGTGCAATGCCTACATGCTACATCGTAGCACACAATAATATTAGGTCATCTTCATCCATCCATCTATGCTTCTTTTGCCTTTACACCCACTAAGTGGTCGATGGGATTTAAAGACATTTCATCTTTTCTTAGAAAAGTTTACTTTCTTTTAAAAGTATTTTTTTAATGATTGATCTAACGATTAATTTGGCTCATATCTAAATTATAATCTCAAGAAAATGATCTTGATAAAAATCAGGTTATCATTTTTCGACAGATAAATTTACGGCATGATTTGTTTTCTTCTGTCACAAGACCTACACATTTCTTCATTATTGATGAGCAGCCAACACTAGTTCTGTGTTTATTAGTATTCACATATGGAACTCGTTAACCAGTACGACTTTTTAACCAA